TATTAATCACAAATATATTAAAGGTATTAAAAAAGGTAGAATAAAATCCCTATAAAGTTAAATTCAAACAATCCATATCTACATCTACAAGTCTAATAAGAACCAATAAAGTTAGATCTCTAATGAAAATTAAAAAATGTTAATCTAATTGTTTGTTGAAATGAATGGTTCATATTATTTCGATTTTAGTAATTTTTATATTATTATTTATACTACTTTATCCTCTATTATATCATTTACTTTTCTTAAATACCCTGTATTCCGTTAGTGTAAATTTTAGTAACGAAATATTTCGTTAACTATTTATCATTCTTAGCTTACTCATTGATTTTCATAAGGAAGGTCTTAAGTTCGAACCCCATCCCAAAATCAAAATTGACATAACTGTTAAACATATACTAGAATATGTTAGAGTGTATTAAATCTACATCTACAAACCTAATAAGAGCCAATAAAGTTAGACCCCTAATGAGAATTAAAAATGTTGGTCTAATTGTTTATTGAAATGAATGGTTCATATTATTTTGATTTTAGTATTTTTTTCATTATTTTTACTACTTTACCCTCTTTTATATTATTTACTTTTTCTAAATACCATGCATTCCGTTAGTATAAACTTTAGTAACGAAATATTTCGTTAACTATTTATTATTCTTAATTTACTCATTGATTTTTCATATGGAAGGTCTTAGATTCGAACTCCATCCCAATCAAAATTGACATAATTGTTAAACATATACTATGAATATGTTAGAGTGTATTTAAAAAATATAATATAACAACCAATGTGATTGCTCACTCTTTAGCCAGAGCTTCTTGCTTGTATATTGGTCGGGAGGTGTGAGACGTGGATATCCCTCATTGTATTCGTGATTTAATTTAACAATAATAGTTCGCTTTAACCTGGAGGGTGTTGTTGAGTGGAAGGGACTCATCCATCCTTAACCAAAGGTCAATGGTTCGATCTTTAGCTTTGGGAATTGAGCTGCCTTAAATATCCAGGCCAGCTGTCTCACCCAAAAGAGGTGCATACAATCCAGCAAGGGGATTAGTCTTTGTGTTCTACGGTGAAAACCCTAGGTATACCCAAAAAAAAACTTTGGTCAATTAATTAGAATCACGCATTGCACATTGATGAAACGGTACATGCACCTTACAATATATACTCAACCCATGTGAGAAAATATGCCTATTATCAGTTTATCACTGTCTTTTTGAGAAAGGAGGATTTGGTTATATTTTTTAAGGTGCAATGCGCAAAGACACTAAAATTGCTGTGAAGCACACCAAGAGACTAGATCAAATCAAGAAATCATTTCTAGCGGAAGTGGCAACAAGATGAAGCATGTATCATGCCAATTAATAGGGGTTTGTGTTGCAAAATTTATGCTTAAGATAGCACTAATATATATATATATATATATATATATATATATATATATATATATATATATATATATATATATATGTGGTCATGTCATTAGGTGTGGCAGTGTGGTCATATCTATGTCGTTGAATCAGTTTAATCTAACAGTAGTGGCTAATTCTGAGGATTTTCACGCGTTTTGCGGTTTTGGTAAGTGGGGGTGTTATGGTAATTATAGTGGCCATTTATAACGGCTGGGGTCCAGAATACACCAACAGTGTCGACAACGTGCACCAATAGTGTAATAAAATACACCACAGTGAAACACACCAATAGTGTATTCCCGAACACTGTTTGGTGTATTTATTCATATCTAATGGGCGCGTTTTTAGTGATGCATACCTAATTTGTGTATGTTTTTTGCTGTGCATTTCATAACATGGATGGTGTATAACAACTGGTGCGGCCGCACTAACCACACGAGAAGGCGTTGCCGCACCTGAACTTGGTGTTAAGAACAAGTGTATTTAGATTTTGATGATACCAAACTGTCTTAGGATGTAGACCCCTATTTTTCGTTTATTAGAAAGTCTCGTATGACATAGGCATGAAATGTTAAACCATGCACGAGACTAGTAGAATAGGTCTACATGAAGATTTGAAGATGAACGAAAGATGCTTGCAAAACAAAAGAAGGATTAAAGAAAGTCTCAGATGGATTACTTCGAAAAAAAGGAACTTTTGTTCAAGAAGAAAGGACGAAAGATTAGGACAATCTTTCGGCCCTAAACAACCAAGTCAAGGACAGACTTGTTAAAGACAACTCTCTTTAAAAGGAAACAATGAGAATGTTGTCTATCAATCAGTTGGGCAAATCATTCGGACAAAAGATGTCCTAGGAATGATTTTCACTTAAGACAAGGAGCATTAAAAGACCTGTACTATTTTGTCAGAAAACAAGGACAAAAGCCATAATGCTTTCTGCTCCAACGGCTATGCAGTACAAGCGCATTTAATGCCCAATGCCTATTGAGTAATACACACTGGTTAATAGGTTTGAAATTTTCATCTCCCTCCAGCGGATGGATTTTTCCACCTATAAATACCTCTCTTCGCCATTGAAGAAGGTGCTGGTTAACTCACTCTCTCTATCTAAGAAAAGCATTTCAAAGCAGTTCCATCTTCTTAGCTTTTCATAACCAGTGTGTGTTGTGAAGTTTTTCAAAGGCATATCCATCCTCATACTTCACAACCTGAAGTTGTCTTGTTCTTTTCTCATGTGAAGATCTACTCAGACATCAAGACAAGCCTCAACCCGTTGGAGAAACACCAAATCTCTTTTCCAACATCTCAACTCAGGAAGTAGTTGATAGAGGCGGAGTAAACTCTAGGAGTTGAAAAACCTTTCAAGTGGCTGTCCGGCTTAGTGATCAAGGAAGCCAGCTTGAAGTAGTTTGTACTAGGAGTGATAGTGCAAACCCTTTCACGAATTGTGAAAGAAGAGTAGAGTAGGCACAGTTGGCCGAACCACTATAAAAATCTCTCTGTCTCTCTCTTTTTACTTATCGCTTTTACTTTCGTGATGTGCATATCATATCATATCGACCAAACGTGTTATCTTTATAAACACGAAAAAGTGCAAAGAAAACTTAACTAAAAACAATATTTCCGCTGCATATATCTCCGAAAGAAGAATAATCGAAAAAGAATCGATTAGAGTCTATTTACCCCCCCCCCCCTCTAGACTCTCTCTGACCCTACCGGGACCAACACTTGGCACCAAATAGAATCCACAAATACACCAGAGTAAGGCTAATAATGCACCAATTACACAAATAAAACACACAACAATGTGATTTCCCTTATTCCGGTGCCTTATGACAAGTTTACCCTTGCAATTCGTTGGGTAGGAGAACGTGCGTGAAAATATTGGAAGAATATTGATTAATGTGATTCATTGGATCTATCTAATCTAATAACCTGTAATTGACCATATGACCACACCTAACAACATGGTTGCACTTGATCGCCCTATATATATATATATATATATATATATATATATATATATATATATATATATATATATATAAAAGATCCTACTAAGGAACTAAAAATTTTCATCAAAATGATTTACCATTTTATGTGGCAATATAAATAGATTTCTTTTTAACATAGACTAGAACGAGCCTGCCAATACATGATAACAAATGAATAAAAAGAGTTTTATTGTTGATATATGTTGATATCTCGAATTGAGTGTTATGACAAGTAGTATGCAATCATAAGTAACTATGGAAATTAAACAAACAAGTAACGAGACAATTTCATCTTTGTGAGATTCATCTTTACTGTGAAATTAACTTATTACCACCAAATTTCTCCTAGGTATTTAGGATCAACACATCCTAAAATGAAAAAAAAAAAAAAAATTATTTTTCAACCGTTAAATCTACTAGATGAAAATTTTATATATATATATATATATATATATATATATATATATATATATATATATAATTTTATGATTGCATATTCTACCACATCTGTAAATATACTATACAATTTTTAAAATTAATAATAAAATGTACTTAATTAAGTTTTAATTTATTTAAAGTTGTTTTTATTTTTCAAAAATTTTCCATGCATCGTCCACTCAAACTATAAGTCAAGTTAAGCGACGTGTAGCCAAATTATTTTGTATATGGCATTTGGCAAGTATACATCACTAATTAAACTATCTCTTCGTTGTAAATGAAGTTTATCAAAATCTTACAAATTAAAGGTCTCAGCTCACTATTCCTAAGCAAATTAGTATCCTTTCAACCGTTAATCAATAAAATTTCTTTCACATATTTAGATTGTGTCAGTCATTTTCCTTTTTTTCTTTTTAATCTTAAACCCCTAAAACCCTTACTCAAGTGTTTGATGGATCAGAAGCTCAGAACCCATCACAATGACTATGCAGAGAGTTCATATATAATGGAAGAACTGGAAAATGGTTTATTGCAAGTGGAGTCTCTAGAACAAAAAACAGTTATTGCCACCCTTAGCAATAAGCTCATTGTCACAAAAAACTAATTAATCAAACACTCATATTGATTGTTTAACCAAGTCAAATAACTAATAATGGACAAATAAATTAAAATTGACTGATAAAGTAACTATGCTACCAAACAAAACCGAAATGAAAATACAAGAAAGCCCTTGAGCTAATTTATGTCTACTTCATCAATATCAATAGATAAGGTAAATCGCAAGTTGCCTAAACAACTTCCTAATTAGTTCATGTCATTGACTTTACACGTGCCTATGAAGGGGTGATTTTAGAGGCCAATTGAATTCCATTTGCCTCTTAATTGGTGATTTTAGAAAACGTGGTCCACTGCACCACGAAATCGAGATGTAAATTAATTTCTTAATCAATAAAAATGTCATATCAATCATAAAAGAAAAAGTAAAAAAGTCAAAATTACCGTACCCCTCCAACTATAAAATCCCTATTATTATCATCACCCAAAACTTGCATTCCACCACCACTGCACACACAAACACACAACTTAACAAAGAAGCTTGAAGATGCTGACGATGAGAAAGGGGTCTACGACGACACTAATTGCCGTCTGCAATAATCATGACGGCCATGCTCATCGGCGAACTGGAGCTGACTATGGCTCAGCCGCCGCCTCCACCACCGGGATGCAACGAGAGGGCTCTGACCCCATGCGGGCCGGCGATCCTGTTTGGGACGGCGCCGTCGACTGAATGTTGCCGTATCCTGAGGCAGCAGACCCCCAAGTGCCTTTGCGAGTACCTTCGCAAGTATCCAGGGTATGCTGCTAATGCTAGAAAAGCTTTTAGGGCTTGTGGTGTGCCTGAACCTCGCTGTTAAAATATATATGCCTCAGATCAGATCAGCTCTATCATATCCTATCCTATCCACCATTATATAATATAATAATATTCTACTTGAGTTACGTTATTAAATAAATAAAGGCATATAAAGCCTACCCATCTTAATTGCAGTCATGGCATCTATCTATAAGTATTACTTGGTGTTATTACTAGCTATGTATATCATCATAATTATATTATGGCAACTTTTTTATTTTCATTTTCATTCTCAATAAACTGGTTACTCCATCTTTATTGGGAAATAATCGATCAATGAAAAACAAATTATCCATTATTAATAAAATAATATATGGCTCCCAAACTACCAGGGCAAATTTTACCCTGGACTTTGGTCCACATAAACCAAGGTCAAAACAATGCCGTTTTAAGTTTTTCAGTCGGTTAATAATAGTAGACTGTAAATTCCGTTATATATGGTCGGTGAAACTAAACAATCTTTATTATTATTCAATTTCATTTTATACACACCCTAGTTAGTTTCATTACAACGTCACTATATCATTCTAATTAAATTATAATTTTTTTGGGCAAAATACACTCGATATATATAAGACATGCTATTCAATTGCATTTTATACACAATATAATTTTAATTACAACACCACTAAAATGTCATTATTATTCATGAACTACTATTTCATTTAACAATATAAACTCAATATGTGAGATCTGCTATTCAGCTTCATTTTATACATTTTAGTTTCATTACAACATCGCCAAATTAAAGTATCATTTTAATTAAACTATAATCTTGTTAAACAATATACATTCAATATCTCGGTTTCATTTTATGCACAATGTAGTTTGATCACAACTTTACTAAAGTATCATTCTTATTCAACTACAGTTTCATTTGAAAACCTCCTAGAGACATGCTATTCAGTTTCATTTTATATATACACACTATAATTTCATTACAACACTGTTAAAGTGTCTTTTAAGTTCAACTAAGTTTCATTTGATAATATACACTCAATATGTGAGATATGTTATGTTATTAAGTTTCATTTTATACATACTGTAGTTCTCATTACAACATTACTAAAAAGCACTCAGTGCGCCACAAAACGTAACTAGACGTAATAGCTGTCATTTCTTTTCATTAAAAGAAACGACACTGTTTTGGTTACGGTCTACTGTATAATGATAGAAGTATTAGGGTTTGGACTCTTTCTACTTCCTTAGCTTCAAACCATGCCCTTGTTGGGGCTACCGGGTGCGTACTTCTTTTGCAGCTCAAAGTTTTGGTCAATAAATTATGTGTTCAATGCCAAAGGCCTTTTGGTTGAGTGACATAGCTGTGGCCTCTCACATGAGAAGTCTCAGGTTCAAATCCCAATGTGGGAGCATTGATTCTTTGTGCTTTAGTAAGAAAAAAAATTATGCACCCAATAATGCCAATGTAAGCCCAAAATCTTAATCTTAAAACAAAATGGTTTAAAATTGGTATATCATTAAAATTACAATTAATTTCTATTACTCTCCATCCGTGCAATTCTCTCCATACTTTCAAAATTGATCCCACTTTTACATGACCCTATAAAAATTATTTTCTTTTATCATTAAAAAAATCTTTTCTACAATTAATCTCTTTTATTAATATATACATTAATTTAAGATATTAAAAAATAATTATAATTTTGAATTTCGTCAAATAATTTTAAAAAATTTGAAATAAAATAATTCGAAAAAAAATCATATTACCTAAAAATTTACAATAGTCAAATGATAGATAAAATATTATCTTAATTATATAATAATTTTTAATTTATATTATTAACAAAGTAATAATAATAATAATAATTAATAAATAAATAAATTACAATTGCATTTCTGATAGTACATTAATCTTAATCTACATTTATATTATTGCACACTCGAGTTACTTTATTAAACAAATAAATTAAGCCATCCTGGCATGGCATCTATAAGTATAAATGGGTGTAAAACGCTGTTGTATTACTAGCTATGGCAAATTATATCGTGCATTCTGTGCTGTGACCAAAAATGACATCGTTTTTATAAGTTGGCGGAGTGGACCCGACGGATACCGTTCTATCCATCCAATCCCGTTGCAGTTTTGTTTTTTCTTTTTCTTTTTCTTTTTGTTTTTTGTTTTGGTTTTTTTTTTTTTTTGTTTAATTTATTTTTTTGTTTAACTTTTTATGTGTATTATGTTAAGATTTATGTGTATTATGTTAAGAATTTATGTGTATTATGTTGAGAGTTCATGTGTATTATGTGTAAGACTGTAATGGCACGTTTGGTTCGCGGAATAGGCCTGGAATGACATAGCATTCCCAGTAATAGGCATATTCCTTTGTTTGGTAAAAAAATTTATTCCCAGGAACATTGTTCCTGGGAATGGCCTATTCCCCCTACAAGGGAAATAGCTATTACTAGGGGGGCCCCTGGTATTAACCTATTACTGAGTTCTCAGGAATAGATTTTATATTTTATTTCCTATTTTACCCTTTTTCTCTTTCTCTATGTTTTTCATCTCTTACCACAACTAGGCCCACACCATAACTTACTAATGTATATAAAAGATCACACCATTGTTGTCTGCAACATTTCTATACACCTGAATCTGGACGTCGTATTGGCTCAGCCGCATGGACCACTTGACCAACCTACTTGCCGACCCCGAGGTCCTTAATACGGCCTCGAGGGGTTGGTTGGTGAGGACCCGCACGGGGTGTGCTTGGAAGTAATGGCCGAGCTTCTTGGCCGTGGCGTCCACGGCGAAGATTGCTTTTTCCGTGGGTGAGTACCTAAGCTCGGCGCCTCGGAGGGCTCTGCTCACGTAGTACACCGGGCGTTGTGTCCCCGCGTCATCCCGGACCAGTACGGAGCTGATCGCGGCTTGCGAGATGCCCAAGTACAGATACAAAACCTCCCCTTTCTCCGGTTTGGCTAGGGGGTAGTGACATGAGGTACGTCTTGAGGTCTTCGAAGGCTCTCTGGCATTCGTCTGACCACTCGAACCCCTGGTTCTTCTTGAGGACCCCGAAAAATGGCAAGGACCTCTCGGCCGATCTTGAGAGGAATCGACCGAGGGCCGCCAGCCGACCATTGAGGCGCTGGACCTCGCGGAGGGACCTCGGGGGTTCCATCTCCAGGATGACCTTGACTTTCTCGGGGTTGGGCTCAATACCCCTCTTTGAGACCATGTACCCCAAGAATTTCCCTCCGTGTACCCCGAAAGTGCATTTTTTGGAGTTCAAACGTAAATCAAATTGCTGCATAATGGAAAATACCTCGGTCAATTCGACTGTGTGGAGGTCGGCCTCCGTGCTTTTCACAATCATGTCGTCGACGTAAGCTTGCAAGTTCTGGCCGAGGACCTTCTTGAACACCTTGGCCACCATCCTTGTGTACGTAGCTCCCGAGTTCTTGAGCCCGAATGCCATGACCCGGTAGCAAAAGACCCCTTCGGGGGTAGTGAACGCCTTTTTTTCTTCATCGTCCTCGTGCATGAAAATTTGGTGGTACCCCCGGAAGGCGTCTAGGAAGCTCATGAGTGCGCATCCCGCCGTCTCATCCACCAGCTGATCTATGTTGGGTAGCGGGAAGGGGTCCATGGGGCATGCCTTGTTGAGGTCCGTGTAGTCCACGCACATCTTCCACGTAGGTGGTTTAGGTGCGAGGACTACGTTCGCAAGCCATGCCGGGTATATGACTTCCCGTATGTACCCGATCGAAAGGAGGGTGTCGACCTCCTTCTTCACAAATTCTCGTCTGTCTGCGGCGAGGTAGCGCTTTCGTTGTTGGACCGGCTTGACTTGGGGGTCCATCGCCAGTTTGTGCGTGATGACCTCCCGGCTGAGGCCATGCATGTCCTCGGGACCCCAGGGGAACACGTCCTTGTAGCTGCGGATGACCTCCACAATCCGACCTCGGAGGTCGGCCGGGAGGCCTGTACCCACCTTCACCATCCTGTCGGGTCGGCTGAGGTCTAGGATGACCTCTTCTGTCTCCACCACGGGTTCGGCGCGGGGCCGCTTCTCCTCCTCTCGGAGTGCCTTCTCGGTTACTGTGTGTACCTGTAGGTCCTTCTTCGTTATTTGGCGGCAGGCCTTCAAGTAGCAGCTCTGGCTGATTTTCGGGTCCCTTCGCGCGACACCCACCCCTGTGGGGGTGGGGAACTTGAGGCAGAGGTGTTCCATGGAAATGATGCACCGGAGGTCCTCCAAGGCAGGTCGACCGAAGATGATATTGTGGGCACAGCTGATTTTCACCACCACGAACTCAACCTCCCACTTTTTGACGTGTGGCGGGGTGCCGATTTGGACCTCGAGGATGATGGAGCCCTCTGTTTCGATGGAGTCCCCGGTAAAACCAGATAGCGGGGTCCGTACCAGGGAGAGCTGCTTCCGGGATAGCCCGAGTTGTGTGAAGGTGTCATAATACATGATGTTCACGGAGCTCCCCGTATCCACCAGTACGCGGTGGACGATGATGTCCTTGATCTCCAACCTGATTACCAACGCGTCTTAGTGGGGCAGGGGGCCATCCGGGAGGTCGTCGTCGGTGAACGTTATGGGCTCCCTACGTGTTCTCTTCTCATGGGGTGCTCAGACGACCTCACCCACGTATAGGCTCCGTGCCCACCTCTTCCTTTCGGCAGGCGTGTCACCTCCCTCCGGGCCACCAAAGATGACGTGGATGACTTTCTTCTTTGGCGGGCTGTCCGGCTCAGTCTCCTCGTCCTCCGTGAGTTGACCGAGCTCCCTCTTGCGCGGGGCAGAGGCGGACGGCCCGGCGCCGTCCTTCTTCTTCCGGGCACTGTCGGGGTCTTTAGCGTGGTCCTGCCCGGATCTCTTCACATACTGGCCTAGGTATCCCCGTTGGATGAGCTCTTCGATCTGTCTTTTGAGAACCATACATTCGTCTGTGTCATGCCCTCGCTGCCGATGTAAGCGGCAGTACTTCTTCGGGTCGGCCTTGGGGGAGATTTTTAAGCACTCTTCGGGG